TAAAATAAATACATTAATACCGGTATTTAATTACATAATCGCATATAAGCACACCTCTATACAATCACACCATAAGGTGATCCCGAAGGGTGTGATTGTAGAGAGGGTCGACTGTAATTATAATTTATATAATCTATTTATTATTCATAATTATTTATTTAAATCTTTTTTTTATAGAAAAAAGTGAAATATGATCATAGAAGATGATTCGACAAATATGCAGTATATATTTTGAAACAAGATATAATACTTTTAAAGTTTCACTAGAAAAATTAAAGGCTATTAAAATTAATAATCATCATAAAAATAGAATATTAAAATTTTGTATATTATAAAGTTAATAAATTATTATTTTTGCATAATAATAATTTTTTTATTTTATATTTTATAGAAATTTAATGCTCAAATGGATACTATTGATACATTTAATACAGAAATATTGGGTCATCTAATTAAAGAAGTTAGGGTATTATTTGCACGAGAGTTAATGTCATCTAAGATTAGTGAAGACGAAGTCACAATTAAAAAATCAAAAAAATCTAATGAACAACCTATATTGGAAGAAATATATTTCGTTTCTTTCATTTTCTAACATAATGATGAGGTATTGTCTATTTAAAAAATATTTTAATTTATTAGAAAAAATATAAAATCAGAATATTTTTTTAATTTTATTAGGCTATAAAAGTATGTGGAATTGTTGATGCTAAAGTTAAAATTGAACAACAATGTCAATTAAAATTATGTAAGGGTTCTACTGGTAGAATAATGATTTTTCATCAATGTATATCAATACCTTCAAATAAAACCAAATTTTATCAATTATATTTCTTTATACTAGCATATCCAATGTTCTTAAAATTTTCGCAATAGGCTATTAAAAAATCATATGATTCAAATATTATTCTTTCAAATACGATTGATTCAGATTCTGAATATGAGTTTATAAGTCAAAATACATTAAACTTATATCTAAAATGAATGTCAATACTAAGCTTAATTTTGATATTACACTTGCAGATAAACCAATCATAAATTTACATATTTTATTATATATATGTATATAACAATTGTTTTTTTATTTATAGAAAACTTTGAAAGAGATTTAATGAAATTATTGAGTAATTTCAATAATCAAGATACAAATTTTGAATCATTATTTTTACTGGATAATAACAATTAAATAAAACTAACTTAAAGTACCATTTTAATTATTTAATTATACTTATAATTTTATATTTATAAATGGTAATTGATTCTGAAAAACACTATTAACAAATTTTATGAGAATTAATATTAAATTAAATCATATGTATAGCCAATTATTATCTAACAGTTAAGCAAATTCAAATAATAACCTTACAAGTATTAAATATAAAGATGTAGAAAATGATCAAGAAATAATAATACCTAAAAAGTGGCGTAAATTAAATTTGAAACCAGTTACTCAAAATATCTGTTCTAAAGCTAAGGCTAAAGTCACAAATTCTTATGAAGTCAGTAAACTTTCCTACTGATATTTTATTTTGATTATTATCTATATTTTAAATACACATTGATATCGCAATTTTCACATAATAGAATGAAACATTTTATTATCTTTAATATATTAAAATTTTAAATTTCATTATTTTAACAATAAAATGTTTCATATGATATACGAACTTAAATTTATAAAAATATACAGCTTATCATTTATGCGAAATTAATAATAGTTTATTTAGAAATTATATTAATTATCATATTGAATAAATTTCTATTAAATGTTCAAATTTTTCAATAATTTATATGGAATTTATATATTATAAATTGATTAAATAAATTTTAACTTATTAAATATATAATACAATCAATCCTCTCTAAATGCATCCCCTCGGAACTATAGTGAAAATTTTAAAAAATGTGCATTTAAAGAGGTGTGCATTTAAAGAAAAAATTTTTATATGAATTCTATATGCTTAGGACTGAACAAGAGCGTGTATTTAGAGAGAAAATATATAGTGTGTGCATTTAGAGAGGGTTAACTGTATATTTTATTATTTCAATTTTTAAATCAAATTTAATGAATATTTTTTAATTCCACATAAGATAAGCAAATTTATTAGTAATTTCTAAGTTATAAATCTCATATACATTCACTCACTTCGACTAGTGTTATAATAATTTTTTCACAGTGTATGTTTAGAATTAATAGTATAAATGAACTTAATATTATATTCTATTCATTTTCATTTTCTTCAAAGGTGTCTTTATCATTTTCATCTTCTTCAGAAATGTCTTCATCATTTTGTTCTGAAGAAGTAAGTGAGATACTATTCCATTCTTAGGTAGTAAATTGAAAATAAAGTTGTCGATTATTATGACTCTATAGTATCAATCATTTTGTTTAACTATATTAATATTTTGCTTACTCTATTATAATGTATATTAAAGTTTTTAAATAATATTAAATTGTTTACTAATTATTTTTGTATCACAAATACGTCTAGTAAAAATGAATGCCTTAAAAAATAATTTATAAATGATTGAATGTCCTATGGGAAATTTATAATATTTCTTTATATCTGTTTTGTTCACCTTTAAGTCTATATACTGTCATTATTATGAAAACTTAGAATATCAGTATTTTTTCAATGTCTGTAAACTCTTTAAGTTCTTCAGATGCATCTTCTGAATCCATATTGTTATTAGCTAAAAATTTCTTTGGTGAAATCCTTTTGTGTAATATTATTGATACGAACCCTGTATAATTGTCATTAATGAATTATGTTCATTACATATATACTAGTCGAAATAGTCCAAATCAGCTAAAAATCAGATGGCTGATTTTAGGCCATTTTGATACTATTTATGGCTGATTTGCCATATTTTCTGATCAGCACAAATAGGTGCCGATAGACACCGATCGACCTCAATCGGACATGGTCATTCAGAACTTAAATTCAACCATAAATCAGCCTAAAACTGGCCTCAATTTGGCAATAATTCAGACGTTGATAGATGCTGATCGACTCCAATCGAACATAGCCATTCAGATTAAATTCAACCATAAATCAGCCTAAAATTGACCTTAATTCAGCATCATTTGGCATCAATTTAGAACTTAAATAACCATAAATCAGCCTAAAATTGATCTCAATTCAGCATCATTCGGCATCAATTCGAAATTTAAATAACTATAAGTTAGCCTAAAATTGGCCTCAATTTGGTATCAATTCAATCAAATATCGTAAACGGTTAACTAAAGTACCCCCTATAGTATAATACCCTCCCCATAAATCTGGTCTAAAAGACCTGGGTATTATACATAAGGACTTCAAAAAAAAGTTGCGAAAATTTGTATAATACCCGGGAGTATTATACACCAATTGTTTTT